TGAGCCTCAGTCCATATTGAAGGCTGCAGTCCTTGACCCTCTGCAGTAAGTGCATGAGGTCCTCCTCAGTTTCAGCGAGCAGGGTTGTGTCATCTGCAGAGGTAGGAAATGATTTTTGCTTTATCCCTGGTGGATGGACATGGTGTGGACTTTCTAGCTACAGCCTGCCGTGGGAAGTTGGCGCCAACACATTTGATGGTTTTCGTCATCAATGTCCTGGTACGAGGAGGACAGAGCTGTATCCAAGCCAGGTGTAGAGTGTGAGGTTGGGTTGTGGACCGCAGATCCCCCACCATCGAGCCAGTGACTCTGGAAATGTCATTAGTTTCCTTCATCATCAACACCATCTTCCACAAGACAAGCCAAATTGTACTCCTTTCCACATTGTGGGTGAATCCTACAGGCCTGGCAAGCTAGGAATGATGAGTTGGGGTCTCTACGCCTCCCTCCTGGATCTCCCAGGCTTCCTTGACTCCAGACCCCGGGGGGCTTGTTAGCCTGCAGACCCGGGTTCTGTAGGGCAGAGGCAGGGCTCAAGACTCTGCATCCCTCACAAGCCCCCAGTGAGGTCTGCCCTGCTGGGCCCTGGCCCATCCTTGGAGTAGCAAGACTCCAACTCAGTGCTTTTCTCAGAGTCACCTAAAGAACCTGCTAAAAATCACAGACTCAATCTCTGTCGTGCTTTGGTCACCTGGACCCTGGGGCTGCCTGGACACTTGCTGAGGGGTGTTTGAGAACAATGCTTCTGTGGTGTGTTGGCTTCTGGCGGCTGATATAACAAAGTACCTCAAGCTGGGTGGCTTACAACAGCAGAAATGAATTGTCCCCATGACGGCAACCATAGCCTTGGTGGTGAGGAAGACACAGGAACAGGCCACATTTCCTTCTGTGGTGTAAGAGGTTCCTCCGAATCGTTCGACCCAACGCCACCTACGGCCCCCACACTAACAACAGTCCCTCCATCCGTGCGAGCTTGTTTTGTTCCTTAACTACACTCATTTCAAGGATCCCCCCTTCCATCTGCTGCTAACATATGTGTTGATAAATGTGATGACTGTTCCCCAAAAGTGCCAAGACCAGCATTATCAACACTCCCTCTCTATTGTCAAAACATCTCATATTCTATTCCCATCAGGCTAGGAGTAAGAGACTCGAGGATATAAACAACTGGGCACATGTGGTTTACAGTGCTTCAGATGAGAGATTTGTAGGAGCCAAGAGAAAGTGGGGAGAAGCCACGCACGTGAGTTGGGGGACAGAGCTCCTTCCATGGGGCCGCTATCCTCCTTGGGTTATCTGATCCAGCGATGCCGGAAGTATCAGTGCGAAACAGAGATGACTCTTGGGGATAGATGATGGCAAACCTCTGTGGATGAGTCGCAGCACAGAGCCTTGGGATTTTAGAGCAAAGCCTTGCCAACCTCCTATTCTATCCCCGTCAATAAATAGATGGTGTTCCAGGAGCTTAAAGACACGGTGTAGACAAGCAACTTAAAGCTATCCTAGCTGTCACCATGCTGGCAGTGAGGAAGCTTTTGAGAAGATCACAGGGAAGGTTTTATCGTTTGATGCCCACAGGAGGTCCAAAAAGCATAAAGACTTGGTGTGGAGGTCTCGAAGAGCTCCCAATAGCCACAAATAGGAGTGGGACAAGTGAGAAATAAGTGTCAGATACTGTTCTTAAATGCCATTGAGTTGGTTTTGACTTACAGAGATCCCACTTGCAACAACAGAACAAACTATTGTCCATTCCTTGCCCTCCCACAGTCATTGTTTCAGAGTCCAGTGATGCATCTACCATATCCATCCACCTCAATGAGGGTCTTTATAATCTTCCCTGACCATCTGCTTTATCTAAGCATGATGGCCTCCTCCACGGATGGTTCCCTCCTGAAAATAGGTCCAAAATTCATGAGACAAAGTCGAAGGAACATTCTAGCTAAACTTCTTCAAACACAGAATTGTTTGCGCATCAGGCAGTCCCCAGTACTTTCAATATTCTTTGTCAATCCCATTATTCAAATACACTGAGTCTACGTATCTTCCTTATTCATTGCCCAGCTTTTACATGCATATGTGTCGTTATTACGTGCTACCAAGTCAGAACTGACTCCAGATCCTCCAGCGGGTTTTCAGAAGCGGAACTGCTCTGGAGAAGATTACTCACCTTTCTCCCTTGGAGTAGCTGGTGAACTTGAACTGTGTGCTCTGAGATGGCAGTGAACTCCTCGCCATCCAGACCACCAGAGCGTCTGAGGTGATCAGGAACAACGTGGTTTGGGACAGCAGATCATAGCCTCCACAGTGACATCCGTGTCTCATTATTGACAGTAATTGGATCAGTGTGAGAGCCAGAATGGACATCTGACCCTAGAACCCTAGAAGAAGGTAGATTCACCACTCAAATACCCTACTGGGTGGGGTGAAGTGAGTTTAGAGGAACAGAAGGGTCTGAATCCTGCAAAAATCTTCATTTCTAAGAGAGAACTGGGCTGAACGAGTCCAGTTTTTTCATCCCAAGTTTACCTGTCCTTGTCAGCACTAACTCAAGTAGGGTTCAGAAATCCACAGAGCCGAGTAGAAGGAGAATCACATCCATGTAGAGAGAGTTACTGAACGTAGTTCGGGGTGGGAATGTACCAAATCTCAACAGAAGGGTTGAGTGAGACCTAGGAATGTTGGGTGTCTTCTGTCTGCCTATTGGCTTGCGCTCTTTACCTGTGTTCAGGGTTAAATCTGGAGCACACATGTTTGTGTTTGTTTTTTTCATTTATTTTTTTTCTACTAGTTTATTTACAAAATTCAGATAAAAATTTGAGCAAATTCTTTCAATTTCCCTCACCCCCCCCCATCAAATTGTACAACCCAGTGATTAATCCCCTCCTCCCCCTGCACATCCACATCCCTCTGCTTCCAGCCTCTCCCACCCCTCCTGGATCCTTATACTCATTCTACAGTAATGGTTTTATACAATATTTATCCTTATGGAACTGGGTTCTCTCAGCATAATGCTCTCCAGTCCCTCCCAAGTTAGGTAATAATTTACAAAGTTATTGCTCCTGTGTGCTGCGTAGTATTCCATGGAGCATACATATTTTTAAAGACCTGAATTCCTACCCCACTTTCAAGGCTCAGGAGGAAGGCATATCAAACAGAGGAAATGAAAATCCAAAGGTCGTTTCCTTCTTACCAGGCACAGTCAGTCCTAGAAGCACCAGCCATCTTCCTGCTGCCGCACGCCACGTGGAGCTAGGACCAGCTGGAAGGAGAAAATTTGATTTGGTTTCTGTTTCCTTTTGCTGCTCTGCTATGATAAGTTTGATGTGATCTCTGTGAAGATAAGTGAGAAGGGAAAAGAGAGTTCTGGATGGAGCCTGAGATGCCTGATCCTGATTCGGAGATCAGTAGCTCCCACTGAAATCAGCCTTGGGAATGCAGCGATAAGAGCAGTGATGGGAACAGAGCTGAGGGCAGCGGGCGTCAGCCAGCAAGGTCCTGCGCTAGGACCAGCAGGGCCCACAACATCCATGCTTATCCCCAAGGGTTTACAAATGCTTAGTTTCTGCAGAACCACTCTGACTTCTGCTCAGGCCCAGTTTAGACCCTAAAGCCAGCTAGGA